TAGGCCTGCTCCCCGCTGGCAAGTGGACATCCCTCAAGGGCTCCCGGGCTGCCAGAGGGATGTCTGACTGCCAGCTTAGGCCAATCCCCCGGGGAGCGGGCCTAAGCCAGCGGGTGGTCATCTCCCGAGGGGTCCCAGACTGCAAGAGGGCACAGGCCAGGCTGAGGGACCCTCCCGAGTGCACAAATTTTTGTGCACCGGGCCTCTAGTGTATGTGTGTGTGTGTGTGTGTGTGTGTGTATGTATGTATATCTATCTATATCTAGAAGGAAAAGTTTCTTCCTATTAAAAATGTTTTTAAAGGATCCCTAATATGTTTATATACCCAAATAATTTGTTACTAATACTTCACAAGGAATATCATTTTATTACTGTAATCACAATATCATAATTTCTGTACAGGAATGTATAAATGAACAATAATCAATGCATTGATAATTCACTTCATAAAGAGGTTGAACACACTATAGAACATATAAAGAAAAAATTTGTAAAATTTCTGACCTTGAAGTGCACTTTTTAGTGCAAGTATTTAAGACACAATAGTGTTCAATTCAGCAAAGTACTGCAGAATGTCATGCCACAGTCCAGTTAATTCAAAGAGGGTCAGGACATGCAGCTTGTAATAAAATGTCAGACTGTGTGTATATATATAAACACACACACATATATATGTATATGTGTATATATATACACACACACACATATATATATAAAAACCACATGTAATTCATAAAATATATAGTGGTTTATTTAGATGGTTTTAAATGATTTCACTGTGGAATCAGCATAACTGGAACAAACATCCAAGATCTTAACAGGAGCAATCTTCCTGCTAGGCAATGGCTTTGGCTTCAGGTAGGAATGCCTCCCAGTATTTTATCAGCTGTGGATAATAATAAAGATAAAAGATAGTCTCATTACCTTTTTGTCATTTATATGCGTATATCCTGTAGGGCATTTAAAAAACCCTATACAAATAGCTAGTAGTGATTAACATTTTACTAAAGTCTGGTTCTTAAAATCATTTTAATTCCATTATCTGAAGTTTATCAATATAATTCATGTATGAATTATTTAACTTATTAATTACTTCTGGCTAATTTGTTTTTTTATGTAAGCAATGTAATTTTAAAAATATCCAAAACAAGATCTTTTTATTTTATGCAAAACTGTAAATAAAAACAGATTGTTAGTATAAAACAGATTACCTTAAATAATAAAACTACAATGAGCTTTTCCAATATAAAATGATAACATCTAAATCAGAGAATATTCATACGTTATGTTATTGCTAGCCAAAAAGAATGAGAAAAAAGGAGGGAGAAAAAGACTGAACAAAAATGGGAAAAGAGCCTGGGAAGAATTAGCTGCCAGTCTTTCCTGGATACTCCAGAGAATAGATTGAAGTAAAAACTAAAGTTACATTTAAAATAATTCCTTTAAAAACAAACTTATATAACCTATTTATTATCATATTTTAAAAATCTTACTTTATTAATTAAGTATTTAAAATGAAAATACATATTTTGAAGATACAATGTTATCACCTAATTAAAAAAATTATATAGGCAAGCTTCTAATCCACATATTTAACTGGAGAAAGAAACCCTTCTACTCGAGACATTAAATAATTTGATCTATTACTCAAATTTATATAAAAACAGAAAAAAAAACCCATCTCTGCTATTATCTTGTCAAAGTCTTTGATTTCATCTAACATGAATACCATTGCCTCTGTGGGTTAAGGAGACAAATACCACTACTTGTGGCATACAATCACCACCAACCACATAAAATAAAACAAAAATCAAAACAGTGTTTTTAAAAATCTAAAGAGTATTATTTTTAGTTTAAGTTCTGTCTTTCATGGAAGAGAAGAACTTACAATAAGAATTTACTCAAACCGGTACGATCAATAGGAAAATAAAATTAGGAAGATAAGAAAAGGGAAAAGTTGCTCAGTATATTTTTCATAGCCTAAAATTGAAAAAAGTGTATCTCAGCTAGTGGTTAGAAAGAGTAGAGGCAAAAAGGAGCTGAGAGTTTCCAATTACTTTAGCTACCATTTTTTCCTTTGCTGTTATTCATTTTCTCTACTTCATTTCTTATTCCTCTTTAAGTTTAAAAGCTCCTTTCAATGATTACCATCTTTAAAATGAAAAGTATACCAAAAATAAATTCTAGAAAAAGTTTGTTATAAAAAAATTGGCTTACCTGTTGTTGTGTTTGTACTAATGATTCTAAGTACTTGATAATAACAGTTTTAAAATCTTTCACTCGTTCTTTCTGTTCAAGTATAATACATGAAAAAAGGTCCATTAGTATAAAACTAAATTTGATTTTATCATAAAATTGCAGCAAATATGACATTAAGAAAAGTGTAAAATTATTATACTTGCCTCAAATCTTCCTACTTCTTTTCGAATTGTTTTAGAGATCTGTTCAAAATCTCTTTCTCCTTGTTGTACTTTTGCCTCCCACTAATAAAAACAAACAAAAATGCACAATTATTTTATTCTGGAAAAAAATTACAGAACTAGCTGTCATGATCACTCAATTTAATGTAATACCTGAAAATCCTGGGAAAGCTCAATATTGGCAAAGCCCAGTTGAGCATCATTCAAATTTATACCTAGCTTTCCAGTAGTAGAGATGCATATTAGCTTAATTTCCATTAAAATATTTCATTGTCAGATTTACTCAAAATCAGGATATTTTAGGACTTACTGAATTACAATATCCATTGCTGAATTAACTATAACTACGATGTTATGAAATAATTCTAAGTATAAAATTCGCTATCAAATAATTTAGCAATGTTAGATTTTAATTTTCTCACCTTTTTTATATCAATTATTTTAAAATATATCAACTACATTCTGCTAATTTCAAGACTACATGTTTATCACAATTTATATGCCCATGGAAATACTTTAAATTAGGAAAATTGTATGACAAACATTTAAAAAACATTTTTGTAATAGTAAAATGTCCAGATTAAAAAAAATTTGTGGAATTATGGTCTACTGATAAACATTAAAATCAGTATAGCAATAACAAAACGTGATAGTGAATGAAACAGCTAAAATAAAATGACTGAAGACTTAAGCTATGAAATGATATTTTCCCACTATGTAACCAAAACACTGGTACATACTCTTCCAAGAGCAGGTACATTTACTTTAAGTAATATAAAGGTTGTCCTACCTCTTCAATTTCCTTATTGAAGCATGGCAAAAAAAGTGTATAAATTATAATAAACTTCTACAAATTTACTAAAATACCATATATAATACATATATATGGGGATAATGTTGCCTGTACAACTAAATGAGGGACAAATCCACCTCTAAATCTATTTTTAGATACAAAGTAAGTAAGTATCTGAAATGAAAAATTAAATATAAATGTAAATCTTTTCCTTGTGTTTCTTTATTCATTCCATGATCATGTGAATGTAAAAAAAGGGCTCTGAAGATTTTAGTGAAAATCAAAATGTTAAGGTAATTAAAATATAACACAGTTCATAAAATACAGAAAAATAGCTAGGTGTAGAATGGTTCAGAAAAAAAAATATACATATATGAATGATTCACGGAAAATTTTAGTAAAGAGATAAATAAAGCATTTTGTATTAATCACCTCTCTTATTTCATTTTTAGCTTGCTGAATTTTATCTGGTTTGTTAGCAACCATCATTTTTGCCTCAGTTTCACGTTTTTTGAGCAAAGTAATTTGAGCATCTTCCCATTTCTGCCAGCACTTCATTCGATGGTCAAACACACCCTATAAGTGAATGACATAATGCTATTAAGTGACAGTTAACATTAAAATACTTTGATACTAGAAGTGCTGTAATACTAAAAGCAATAAAACCCAGTATTTAAATTTTATTCTAATTTACTGAAGTACTGAAAATAAATAAAAAGAATATATAAATTTCCATATTCATTTACTTAAAAACAGAAATCCCTGTGACTGGATAAAAATGTAAGAGTTCAGAATAAACAGTCAGCATTGCTGAAGCAGAGGGTCGAATCAGTGATTTGGAAGACAAGGTAGGAAAAAAATACCCAATCAGAGTAGAGGATAGTTTAAGGGACTTTGGGACAACATGAAGCATAACAACATGCAGGTCATAGGAGAACCAGAAGAAGAGAAAGAGAAAGGGATTGAGAACCTAGCTGAAGAAATAATGATTGAAAACTTTCCTAACCTGGTGAAGGAAAAAGACATGTAAGTCCAGGAAGTACAGAGTCCCAAACAAGATGGACCCAAAGAGGCCACACTAGGACACATCATAATTAAAATAGAAAAAGTTAAAGACACAGAAAGAATTCTAAAAGCTACAATAGATGTAGGAGTTATGGCAAAGGTAAAACTACTAAAGTCAGGTTATTTCAGGGGGAAAAAATTAGTCTTAACTTTAGTCTAAAACTTTTTCTCCATTTGTTTTTCTACCCTTGTAACACTAAAAAATAAGAGATCCAGAACCATACTTGCTCTTCTTAAAATGCTATCTTAAAGAGCAATCCTATATAATAAAGAGCTAATATGCTAATTAGACCAGATGGTGGAACGACCTTCCGGACAACCTTCCAGAACAACCAGTGGGCGGGGGATGGGGCCACAAGGCAGCAGGCCTACTCTTGCACGATTTTGTGCATTTGGCCTCTAGTTCAGTCATAACAATGTTTATCTTTGTATGTCAAGATAATCCACTTTATAGCCTCCTCCATAAGAGGGATAGATTTACACTGATGATCCATTCTGGACCTCCATCCCCCTGCCAAATATTTATGATAGACATTTGCATGCAAGCTCGTCTAGGTTGGACAAGGTTGCAGTTGAGTTTTCCTGACCCACCATGAAATCTGATGCACAATTTTAATTAATTAATACCATATTCTAATTCAGTAAACCTGAAAATATGCTGCCCAGCTTCCTGGAGTCCTGAAAGGGAGCTGATTAGTTACCACCAAACAATGAAGCTTTTAAACTCCTTGGGGAACCCATCTATTGATTTTTAAATATATAATACATTTTAATATTTATTAATATTTAATATATATAATTTTATCAATTTGGATTCCCTGTAAGAATTCTTAATAAAGAGTTCTAATGCTAAAAATGATACCCATTACCACCCTCAATCCCTGACCCTACTCTAGTGGTTCACAGAGGGCGAATACATAAGAATGCATGCAGAAAGTTTACCACTTCATAAATGCTTGCTAACAGTACTAGTCAAAATATAATGTCTTAGATGTCAGAGACGCTGTACTGTACAAAAGAGAAAAACTAGAGTTCCCTGGAATATGAGGACAGCCCTAAGCAATATTTTGAGTATGTACAATTTATCTTTCTTTTGGGCACCAATTTCTGATGTTCTTAGCTTCCATTTTGGCTCTATATTCTAATTCCCTAGTTTCAAAATTATCATCAGAAAAGTAGTCTTAGTATGGATAAAACAAAAGGCTAAGGAATATTAAATAGCTATTAGAAATAAGATTTTATTATATATAAAGAAAGAAATGCAATGGTTTATCATTTGTAAAGATGCTTAAATTCACACTAACTAAAGAAATCAAAATGTATACAAAAAATACCTGTATTACTGTGTGGGAGAAGGATATAAATGTTGATGAGAGTACAAAGAAGTATAACCTCTTCAGATAGTAATATGGCACTGATTAATGAAATGCATATACCCTTTGGCCAACCAATTCTACTTCTAAGAATTTTCTGCCCAAAGAGTTATTATCAAAATACTTAATTTATGATTGGGTTAGTTAAATAAATCAAGGTACACCTATATGCTATATGATGGAATACTATGCAACCATTAAAAATGTAACATGCTGACATAGAGACTTCTCTAAAACAGAGTAAGTGAAAAAAGAAGGCAAAGAACTGTGTATAGAGTGTGCTCATTTTTTAAGGACGAAGAAAGAAATGGAGGGAGAGAATGAGAGAGACAAAAAAATTAAGAAAATAAATTAGCTTCATATATATGCATAGCTAATTCTGTAAAAATACACAAGAATCTAAGAGCATTTGATTGAGGAAAGAAAAGACTAGAGGTCTTAGGTAGAAAAGAAATTTACTTTTTTGGTTTATTAAAATTATTATGGGCATGTATTTTTTATTCAAATACAAATAAATTAGTTTAAAATAAATTCAAAAAAAATAAAGACCACAAATATTCCCTGTCACCCTCTTCTGTAATTTCTCAACTCCTTGGAGTGGTTGACCTGTGCGAGGTTTCATTAGAAAACCAATCTGAAAGAGCTTAATTTACTTCAAGGTATAACTTGACCATAGCTCTTTAACTCTTTTAGTCGATGAATCACTAATTCATATTTCCCAAAAAGTGTTCCATATATGTAAAAATATATTAATGAAAAATGATTACTGTTCATATGAATTGGAAGTCTCTAGATTAAATAAAGTTAAATATTTAATACTAAATATTTCTGAGCTTTTTACATGCACTCTGAGTGTACAAGACAGGGATATTGTATACATTATTTCCCAAACTCAGTTTATTGTGGTATATCTTTTGGTGTCAATGTTCTGTAGAACATACTGTAGGAAACATGCATATAACTGTAATTCCACAAAACATAAAAATACAGCAAGATGTAAGCAGTATGAGGCAAGCTCTTTTTGAGGGATTAACATCGATTACACAGATAGGCCATCCCTGCCAGGTAGTATTTTTTTCCCACGTTAGCTCTTCTCTGCAGGTCCCTCCTCACAGACACTGCCATAGATTTTTTACATGTGTTATACTTGTTTACAACAGCTCTCATGCTAGTGGGAGCTCTGGAATGAGGTGAGAGGTGAAATATAAAAAGGAACCATTATCCATAAACTGGCTTTCTGTATATCTCAAGTTACCTATATATAAAATGAAGTATACTCTGATAACTGCTATCTATATTAACATCTTTAAATAACTGAAAAGGAAAAATTAACCACCAAGAATAGAGAGTACATCTAAGAGTAAATTTAAGCAAAATTGGTAATTTTACCAAACCTAAGAAAGCACCATTCTTAAGAAAGCTAAGAACCTTTTAGTAAACTGTCACCATTAGCTTTAGAACTTAATCATCAAGAAATGTACAATGTATTACTGTTTGACTGTAGATGAATACTAATTTAATCACAGACATCAGCTGAAAAAATTTTGCATTAGAAAGCAAGGAACAAGTTAAAAGGTAAATTCTCAGTTCCCCGTTCCATGATAACTAATGTTCATAATAACAATCCAAAAACAAGATCTTAAAGTATCTTCTGAAACATAAGATAAATAATATTTAGTTTAATTTTTGAAAATTGGAGATAACTGTAGAATATTGATTTTTATTAGTTAACTGGATTATTTTTCAACTATTCAGAAATTGAAGACTGTTCATCCTAAAACATTGCCACTAGATAATTAAAACTTAGTAACTAATCTAGTCCCATCTCATCTATAAAAACATGCTAACTACACATTTCAGATAACATTCAGAATGTTTACAGTCCAAATTGAAGCTAAAAACACCACTATACATATTTGAGGAAAAATTCTGATTTTGTCCTTCTTCTCAATATAGCTTTACTAATGATAGTAAAATCCAATGGGTAGTTTCAGTGTGTGCTACAATGAGCAAACAAATGCTACCAGTTAGTTCCAAAGGTGTATATGTAAGTAAATGTAAATTCGTTTTATTTTATTTGCCATTTCTCAGACCTCTTAAAAACATCAATTCTGTCTACTGTAATGTCCAACTCATAGAGAAAAAAATTTAAGCTACGAATAATCTTTGTGAAGCCATTTTAGATGTATTACTATAGTATTTCCACACTTAAATACACGCCAAATTCCTTTATAAGCAAACCACTGAAGTGAGAAGAATTCAAGGAAGACTGCAAAACAAGGCTTACTTTCACTGCAGCAATAAGACGAATGTAGTCACTAAGTAGTTCTGAAAACATATAAAAGTCAGCAAAAGCTTGTTCTTGATGTAACTGGTCTATCTTCTCCTCAACCTCTGCAAGCTGAGACAAAGCTCTAGATAAAGCAGTATGATCCTCAGAATTACCTAACATGGCAGCACTTTTAGCAAAGGCAGCTGTGTTGGCTGAAAGTTCTGAAATAGAAAAGTATTCACTTTTAATATTCACTAGTAAAGTTTTAAAATATTGCATTTTTTACCTTCTCTCTAAGTTTTATCTATTCACGAATTGCTCAAATATTTTAACATAATTAACATAAAAGCATAAATGCTAACTGCTCAAAGCTCTACTGAAAGTTAAGAACCACTGCCTATCTTCCCAGAATATGAACTATGCTTAATAATTTAATAATCTGCCTCCCCTTTTCTCCTGAAGTACTTACTCTTTGTCTATTCCTTAAAATGTATATATACAAATATATTTATATTTAATATGAAAAGCATTGAGAACACACAATTGATTTATACTACTTTACCTTTAAACATTTATTTGTCATAAAAAACAATGTCCATAATTTTGAATGAGAATATTTAGCCAACTGTACATACAATTCTCATAGATCTTATTCTTTTTTTTCTTTGTGTACAATAGTGTTTAGTGAACTTTTAAGAATTTCTAGAGATTTTGAACATGATCATTTTAGATACTTCAAATAAAAATAGATGTCTATAGGCTGGTCAATGACTAACAATTACATTGCTGAAAATTGCTCTGTCGCTCTGCATTATGTAAGGTGCTCTAAAAGAACCTGAAAGCCCATTCGCTAAGATATATACAAATGGCAAAAGCTATTATGAACTGCTTTCAAAAATTAGATTTCTGTAATTATTTGATTAAAATGTATTGCTGGTAATAATACATACTAAATTACTTATCAAGAATTTTAGAAATCGAACACAAAAAGCCTTCTTTAAAAATTAAAAATAAAACCATGAAATTTAAAACTTGTAACTCAACTTTTCTATAAATTTTTAACAAAAACCCCAGATTTTTAAATAAAATGGTTCAAAAATGAAGAAAATATTTCAGAGTTTTCTAGAAAATACAGGCAGGCACAAAACAAATATTTTAAAGAAAAAGTTCAAATACCTATTTTTGAATCTCATATTTCTTATTATAATCAGTTACTAAGACATCTTTACTCATTGAATAATAAAAACATTTAACAGAGTTAATCAAGTGAACAATTTTAATCCATAATTCAAAACATATTTTATAAGCTCCATATTTTTCTACTTCTAAACTAGAAGTTAAATTAAAATAGAACAAAAATATATTAGATAACAAAGTTGAAATAGAAAAACATTCGCTTAAATTATTGTTTTCTCTCTTCCATAATAACTTCAAAATACTCATCCTAATAAAATTTAAATAAAATGTTTCAACTAACTCATGGTGCTAAACAGATAAATAAAGCAAACAAACCTTTTCTATGACAGACCAAGGCTTCAACATTGGCATGAAGTTTCCTAAGTTGCTGATCCAGATTTTCAAATTGCTGCTGCTTTTCTTCAAACCACTAACAACAACAACAAAAAAGAAAAATGGAGCTAATTTAGCCAGAACAAACCACTGTAAATTAGGTTACCAATAGCAAACACCATTCCTTGTTTTAAAGCAACAAATTAACCATGGGTAACCATAGTAGTCAACTGATGTTGCTGAGAACTAAACTCAATAAGCAAATTAATATCCTATTTTCTACTTGTACAGCTTTAAAATGCAATTGTTGGGCTCATTAATTCATCTCATTATTCAAGTCGAAAAATCAGCTCTTACTGCATCCGATTCATTCATCTTGATTGTCATTTTGTTGACAGCGTCGGCAGCCTTGTTCACCATCCTCAATATTCCTGCTCCACTCAGAGCCTGTGTATTAACTGCTCTAGGCAGCTGGAATTGAATGACAAATAAGGGCAAACAAACCGGTTAAAAGCCTGGAGGTTTAACTGGCCACAAAAGGGATTGTCCCCCCTTCTCTGCCCCCCCAAAAGGAAGATAAAAAGGAGGTTGTATTTTCTTCACTTTCATACATTTCAATAGTGAGATCTAATTTCTCAAATAATACTACTTGTACATTCTCAAAGGAAAACTTAAAAAATAGACTTTCCATTTGTTTTTCTTCTGCACGTTTACATTTAGATGGAACAACAGTATGTTTGTCAAAATATATTAAGTAATTGCCAAGCACCTTAACACTGGCCACCTGTTTGCTAACAGAAATAAACTGTTCATAGAAAAGAAAGTCTTGAGAAAAATCTCTTTATGCCCAGTTAAAACTGTATGATTTTTAATTTTTAAAAAATTCTGGGATTCAATATATTTTTAGAAGATCTTAAAAGGTAGCAATTGTGCCAAACAACTCAAATATAAAGAGCAGCAAGGTTATTATAATTTAAGGTCTTTCAAGTTACAAATTTGCATTTCAAAACCTTAATCAGAACATTAGAATGTACACATAAATACATTCAACAGCTATCTCTAAATATGTGCTCTGAGTAAATTTATTTCAGTACGATGCCTAAGTAACAATTTAGGACACTGAAAATTAGACTATACAAGTCATTCTTTTAAATCTGGTTGGCACTGATAATCCTATATTTATCCATGCAAAGAAGACATTTTGCTAGTAATTTAGTTAGAGTAAAGCTAATTAAAGCACTAAGCAAAAAAAAAAAAAATTAATGCTTTATTTCATCTGTTAATCCACTTATTTACTGAGCATCTCTATTCTTATATAAATTATTACACTGAAAAATATAAATACTGAGAACATTTATATACAAACTTTAAAAATAGAATACCTCTGAACTTTCCAAGAACTGCCTTAAATCAGGATCCTGTAGTAAAGTGGGATGCTTTACTGTTCTTTGAAGATACCTAGATTTAAGAATAAAATTGCTCCTTTACTTATCAGTAGCACCTTATTTTAAATTTTATTTCAACAAAAGAATAGGTAAAAAGATGTCCTCAGTCTACCTCCTTTCACGTCCATCTGCCTCACTCTATTTAGAATCATAGAGCAATTTAATGGTTCAAAAGTTTTTTGTCCATTTGAAAATCTGAATTTATGTAAAAAGAGATACGGCAAAGAATGAGGTGGGAGTGGAGAGAGGTTAAGTAATATACCAAACTTCTCACTGCAAAGTATAAAACTATATATGAGTTTATCAAATAATTTTAATTTTCGATAGTTACTATGCTCCCAGTTATTACTTCAGAGTCCTAAGAAACACATCACTATACAAATACCAATCAACTATATATATACTATATATATACTAGAGATCCAATGCACGAAATTCGTGCAAGAGTAGGCCTTCCTGCCTAGTTGGTTTGGCTCAGTGGATACAGCGTTGGTCTGCAGACTGAAGGGTCCCAGGTTCAATTCTGGCCAAGGGCACAAGCCCAGGTTGTGGGTTCGATCCCCAGTAGGGGGCGTGCAGGGGGCAGCCGATCAATGATTCTCTCTTATCATTGATGTTTCTATCTATCCCTCTCCCTTCCTCTCTGAAATCAATAAAAATATATT